GAAGGGAGAAAGGAGAAGGGAAAGGAAAAGAGGGAAGGAAGAAGGGAAGGTAAAGAGGAAGGGGAATGTTAAGAATTAAAAGCTGGAAGGGGAGCACGCCTGATGCCCTTAACTGGATGTTTGTACATGGAGCAGCCTCACCCCAGGAAGAAACTCTCCAGACAGAGCCCTGGATCCCTGGGAATGCCACTGCTGCCTCCTCCTCTCCTGCCCACTGAAGGGGAGGGAATTTTTCCACGTCCCCATCACTGGGGCTGCCTCCAGCATGATCCAGTGGATCCCAGCTGGATCAGCCCCTCTCCCTTCCCTTCTCCCCCTGCACTCGGGGGCTGCAGCCTCTGCTGCTCCAGGCAGGAGATGGGAGCTCTTCCAGCACTTCCAGATCGAGGCACATCAACACCAGAAGAGCTGGAGGAAATCCCATTCTCCAGCCTAGATGTGCTATTTCAGACTCATAACAATTCCAGCCTTCAAAGGTGCCCAGGAAGATGAGAAGATGAGGGGCAGGACACACAAAAGGCTCCTGTCCCTAACAGCCACCAACAGGAGCCTGGAAACGCCTCTGGCACAGAAAATTCTCGTTATTAAAGCCAATGGAAAAGTCACAAGGATTTCTATGGGAAAAGATCAATGTGCAGAGTGGAGAGAAGGAAGACAGCTGGGAATGGATGCTGGAGAAAGCCCCAGGATCTCAAACTTTCAATTTCTATTTTTTTGATATACATTTCGATTTATATTTTTCTCCCTCCTGTATATTTGTAACTTCTATTTGATATTTCTCAACCTCAATTTCAATTTATGTTTTCCTCCAGCAAATGGCAAGAGGAAAATTCTGTCAAGCTGCACATCCACAAAGAGCCAGAAACACAATTTAAACTGAAATATGTGATCCAAACCCCTTCAGTCTATGGGGTGATGTTGAGCAAACCATAAAAATGTGCCCTCCTGGCAAGGCTGGGGCTCTGCAAAGCTTTAATAGTTCATGGGGAAGCAATGAAGTGCTGAATATATTTTTAAAAAATCAGTTACAGCCCTGTCCTGTAGCAGTTCAGCTGCTTGGCTTTGCCTGTTTTTGGGTTTTTGCTCCTTCGAGGGCTCTCCCCTCCCCTGGTCCCATTTCCCAGGATTTTCTGGGAGTGTTGACTCAGGGCCAAAGCTCACACAGAGCTGGATTTGCACAGAGCTGCTCCAGCCTCCAATTCTGCTGCCACATCTTGAGTGGGACAGCTGACAAACCCAGGGAGGGGACTCTGGGGAGGATGGGTTGGTTGTTCTTGTTTTGCTTTTTTTGGGGGTTTTTAGTGGGTTTTGGAGGCTTTTGTTTTGTGGGGATTTTTTGATTTGTTTAGTTTTTTAAATAAGCTTCAGAACCAATAATACACTTGAAAATAACAATGAGAATGGTTGATGTTGGGTTAGAGATTCGTACAAGGGAAAAATTTGTGTTTAAAGCCCAGAACGCTGAAGGAATCAGAAAATGGAACATTAACTTTGGATGAGCTTTCAGGGCTGCAGGTTTTTTATTACATGCACAAGAAATAATCCATGGCCAGCCAAAGGAACACCAGCAGCCACACAAAGGATCTCAGGGAAGGGCATTGAAATTGGTGTGTCCATACCCAGCTCCAAACTGGCACATGGAGCTCCTGTTCCTGCTGAGGGGTTCCAGATGCACAGAGCATCAAAAGTGGGATTTTATAGCAAACCCCTGGAACTGAAGGCTCCGGGTGCTGCTTTTGGGACATCACAGAGCTCCCAGCTCTCCCTGCCTGAGCTGTCACTGGGTCCCTGTCCCTGCTTGTCCATTGCTCTGGCCCAGCAGGGCTGGGAGGTGACCCAAGGAGCAGGGAGGTGGTTATGGACTGGAACTGATGCCTCAGGATTTTAACTTTTCTATTTTCCATCTATTTGTAACCCTGCAGTTCTTTAGTGTATAACTCTGAACTCCATACCCAGTGTGAGCTGCTGCTCTCCCATTTTGGGCAGACACAACAATTCCTCTCCAGGCTGGCAATCAAGGACACCTCACTGCCTCAGGCCCCAGAGATGGAAACAAAAGGGAGTTTTGGGGGAGCAAACTTGGGGTAAATGACTTCATTACCTGAAGCTGTAATTGGAAGATTAACCCCAATGTGCAAATGGACCAAACTTATAAAAGTGTGAAATCCTGTGACCCATTGTCCATTTTGGGTGTAGCCCCTGGGGGGCTTTGTCTGCCCAAAATGTACCTGAGAGCCTTTCAATAAATAGAACTGCTTTTTATTCCCTTGATTTTGTCTGGTCTCTGTTTTTAGGTAGTCCCAAAAGGCATCAGCACCTCATAAAACTCATCCCCACAAAGGCCACAGGCACAAAACAAGCCCAGCACCTCTGAGTGTTTTTATGTCTAAAGGTTTTCTGGCAAAAAAAAAAAGTGATTTTTGCATTTGTTTGGCAAACAAATGATGATCCTTGAGGGTCACTTCCATCTCACAGATCCCGGGATTCTGTGAAATGAGTGTGATGCTCCCAGGAAACGCTGCTGAACTCGGACATTGTCCCCCTGCCCTCCCCGGTGCCCTTCTTCAAAGGGATGGTATAAATCAAGACAAACCTAATTAATGCTTAATTCCAAATATTAGACCCCCTGTGAGAAGAAAGATAAACCCTTTCCCTTTAATGACTAAATGGTCTCTTTGGGGATTTTATCAGCAGGATGATGAATGGGGTTTAGCAAAGCTGGCTCAGTGGTGTCTAAATTAAAATTAGGGATGAGGAGGAGGCCCGGGGGTGGGGAGGGAAGGGTTTGGGGGATCCACACCAGCACTCCCCACTTTGGGGGGTCAGAACTGACTTACCAGGAAGGAGCAGAGGAAAATGAATGACACGAAGTAGAAATAGGCAAAATCGCTGCCACATTCCTTTTTGGTGAGGCCAGAGAGGGGGTCACAGGCTCTGTTGCTCAAGCAGGACAACATGATCTCGTGCCAGGCTTCCCCCGTAGCACTCCTGCAACAAGAGGCTGAGTTTATCCAGCCCTCCCCATGACAGCCACCCCGCAGTAATACTGCACCAAATCAACCAAATTCAATAGGTGGAAGGTTGTGTCCAGGAGCAGAGATTGCATTTACACTGGGAATTGGAACTAGGCATGAAAAAGAAAGGAGAAAGAGCATTTCCCTGTGTTACAGGAGGGTAAAAGAAACCAGACAGGCTCAGGTAGGCTAAAAGCTTTATTGCTTCTGTGGAGAATAAAACCAGACTGATTTAAACAGTACAAATCTGAGTAAAGAGAGTTTAGGTTGTTGCTTTTTGAACCTAGTGCTGGCTTTAAAGCCAGTGGAGAGGTTGGGAAATGAAACCAGGCTTCTCCACTGGAATCTCTTATTCCCTTTATCAGGCAGATAAATTCCAGCATGGGCTGCTTGGACTTGGGTCTCTTTTTCACCACAATCTCCTGGGTTTTCTTCACCAATTGCCTCCTCCCTCTCTAACTTTTGCTATTGAGAGAAAAGAGCTAAAATGCAAAGCTTTGGAGTCTCAGAGAGTTTGTCCTCAAAATAAAGCAGTCCCTGTCAAGTGCACCTTGGTTTGAAAGCCAGGGATTCTCCACATGCACTTACTCTGAATTCCTGCTTCCCTCAACATTCACTGGCCTTGTATTCCCACAGCCAGCACACAAACTTTGCACCTGGTCTTTGGGAAAGCTCAGTGCTCCATCTAACCTGGAATAACTTCCAGGCTACTCTGAATTACAGCAGATTCCCCCACTGGTGCCTGGGTGCTGAAAGCCCATTCTCTTTGTGGGGAATTGTGCAGAAAACAACTCCCATCCCAATCCTGCTGCCCCTGCTGCTCACTCCCACTGCTCTGGGGCTGGTAAGGGACCATGAGGCTGAATAATGACCCAGCTTTATTAAAATTCAGGGATTATTCTGAGCTAGAGAGAGCTAATTCAGATTCTGTCTGGCTTCACAGAAACTCCCAGGCAAGGCATCCAGTTCCAAGCACCACAGAATCCTCAGAGCTGAGCCTTGGCAGGGCTGGGAGGGACTGGTGTTCACTGGGGGTCCCCACACTTGGATGAGGAACATCCCCCCAAACTGCCCCAAGTTGGAGCAGAGCCCATTTTGCCAGGTCTTAAAATGAAAATCTGTGATTTAATTGATTGGTTTTTCACTTAAAAATGCTTCATTTCCAGGCAGGATGAACCCAGAGGGAAACACTTGGATTCTGAAGCAGAGGTGAGGTTGGTGTAGGAGCTGTTGACTTCTGCTTATGCAAAAATGGCCAATTAAAGCAATTCTCACTTTAAAAAGGAAACATTAACCAAGCTTCAGGACAGGAAACCCATCAATCAGTTAAACCAGCAAGGTTCTGGTCTATATTCAGCTTCTGCCTGAGCTGCCAAGGGGTGTCACAGCTCCAGGTGACACTTTGTGGAGGGGCTGAATCTGATCTGCTGAGGAGGAGGAAGCAGGAATGGATAATTGACACAAACACCTATTTTAAAGGACATCCAAGTCTGAGCTGCTCAACTGGCACCTGCACCAAGATATTTTTGCTGTTCACACACAAACCAGAGGGTGTTTTATCCTCTCCTTACCTGAACAGGAGCATCAGGGCTTGGAGGAAGGTCCGGAAGTTGTTGTGCCGATTAATGGAGGTTTCGTCATCTAAGGCAATGTTCCCAAAAACCTGCCAGGGAAAACAGAAGGGATTCAGCCAGGCACATCAAGTGGAGTTGGAAAACAAAGAAGGGAAAGATTTTGTCCTTGTTTAAGGGCTCTCAAAAGCTGGAATAATCTCTGTGCTGAAAAGGGAGATAAAAATGTGTTGTGGAGATGAAACACAAGATTAATGTGCTTTGTATTCACACAGGTCCTTTCCAGCAGTTCAGCTCCATCCCAGGCTAAGAAAAGTTTATTATTTCTTCTCAGGAAGGTGCAGTTCCTGGGCTGCTCCCTCCTCTCAGCCTCCTCTCATGTCCATAGCCAGGGGAAGGGATGTCCTTTCCCGTGGGATTCAGGGATGTCCAGTGCTGAAATGGGATCCAGGTCATGCCCACAGCTGGTTTGTCCAGCTCACTGGGGACACTTCAACATAAAAGCTGACAGTTAAAGTAGAAAAAGAGGCCTTTTGTTCATTTCTAATTTACCTGGCATCAGACAAGAAGAGTTTTTGCCTCATCCCAGTGCTGCTCCTGCTGTGGAGGCAACAACATCTGCACCCTGACCAAACCCAGGCTGCTTATGGGCAGAATGAAAGAATGAAATATTTTACCTGCATGCCAATAATGGCATAGATGAAGAAGAGCATTGCAATGAGGAGACACACATAAGGCAAGGCCTGTGGGAAAGGAAAGAGTGGGATTAATGACAGCAAATTCAAACACTGAATTCCCTAGCAGGACTGAATTTTGTGGCATTTGTCCTTCAGGTGTAGGAGGTGGGCAGAGGATATGAAGAATTCTGGCAGCCTTCAGGAGACAACCCCCTGGAGCCAGGTATTCACTGATCACACAAAGTCAGGCCTTTCCAAGGGCTCTCTCTGTAGGGAAAACACAATCCAAGGTTCTGCAGCAAAACTGGAGCTACCAGCAGGCACTGCCACTTTGTGTGCATAATTGTATGAACATTAATTGTTAATAATTGTATGAACATTAATTGTTAATGACTTTGCTGTAAATTCAGACTGAGGAAAAACAAATCTCCATCCCAGAAATGAGTTCCTGCTCTGAAACAGGCCCAGTCTGGGATCCCAGGAGGACAAAAAGATTCTGAGTTTTAGCAAGAAATCAGTGAAGGCTGCAGTGTAATTATATCACCCAGACTGAGAGTGACAGCTATTTTACACTTGGCCTAAATGAATGGGTAATTAATGACACTTAATTAGCGATAGCTCAAAAATGGAGCAGTCTTGCCCTCGGGCCAGCCCCTGTGGTGCCTGGGGCTGGAGTTCTGCAGGCCAGAGGAGCCCAGAAGGAATTGTAGAATCATGAAATATCCTGAGTTGGAAAAGACACCCAAGGATCATCGAGTGCCAGCCCCTGTCCCTGCCCAGACCCCCCAACAATCCCA